TATCTTCTCCTAGTATTAGAAACTTTAAAAAGTATATTTACATTTTCTGTTGACTTTAAAAAAAATAAAAGAGGTTTGTACCTATGTTGTTTATTTATTATTTATGGCCTATATATTGTAATATGAGAAACTACTTTGGCAGTAACAATACACAATGTACTAACCATTGTTACTCTCCTAATATCTTGTTTTGAGGTTTTGTATCATTGTTTTTTTTTTCTTTAAAATAAAATAACTGATGGCAAAAAATAAAAATAAAAATAAAGTAAAAAAAATTTCACAAGGATTATTACAGAAATCAAAATAAAGAGTTATTTCTAAACTAGAAAATAATAAGACAAAGGCACAAAATGCAATCTCAGCCCACAGCCCACCCAGAACAAGTCCAGGAGATATCAGCATAGAAGAAATTGGAAGCCACACACCTGAAATCTATGAAATGACTGCAACTGAAGTAAATAAACAACTCCAGTTGGGTATAGAAGAAATCAGAAATAATCTCCCAGGTAAAAGAAAAAAAAGAGATGATGATCATAATGAATGAATTACTGATCATATCTAAAGAAGATACTGATTTAAAAAATAAAGGTACATAGAAAAATGGTGGATGAACAATTGAAATGAACAATATAGAAAATGAATTGAATGAACAATATAGAAAAAAAAATAGAATACATGAAACAGGTTCAAAGAAATATCTAAGAACTTAAAAATTCTATTCATATCTGGCAAAAACATTTGAATGAAACTGAAGATAGACTTTCAGACCTTGAAGACATCATTGCAGCTATCAACCAGGAAAGGAAAGATCTCTTAAAAGTAACAAGGAACCAGGAAGTAATAATTTAACAGCTATAAGATGGCCTAAAGATGAACAACATAATACTGATAGGTGTGAATGAAAAAGGAATCAACACAAATGACATTAAAAAAAAAAAAAAAAACTATTTGCAGAAGTAATGACAGAAAACTTCCCAAGCACGGGGAAAAAATCTGACAGATAGTTAACTGAAGCATATAGAACTCCAAATAGCATCAGCCAAAATACAGACATATAATAATCAAGATCCCATAAATTCAGTACAAGAAAAACATATTAAAAGCTGTTAGAGGGGCTGGGGAGATAGCTCAGGAGATAAGCACTTGCCTGGTAAGTGCAAGGTCCTGAGTTCAATCCTCAGTACCGAAAAAAAAAAAAAAAAAAAAAAAAGCTGTTAGAAAAAAGAAACAGATCACATTTAAAGGAAAGCCTGCCAGAATCACAGCAGATTTCTCAACACAAACAAGCAAGTAAAAAAGAGTTTGGAGTGAAGTATTTCAAGTCCTGAAACAAAACAACTTTCAACCCAGATTGATGTGCCCTGCAAAACTACCTTTCAAAATCAGTGGAAAAGAGAAATACTTCCATGACAAAGAAAAACTAAAGAAATTAATAACCATAAAATCAACCCTACAAAGAATACTAAAAGATAATCTAAAAAGAGATTAAAATAGCCACAACTCCAAGAACAATAACAGAAAGAAACTACACACAGGGCAAGAAATTAAGCACAGGAAAAGTAGGTAACCAAGAGCAGGAAAATAACATGACAAAGATAAGCCAATACATATCAATTGTAACCACCAGTGTAAATGATCTCAATTCACCAATTAAAAGAAATAGACTGGTAGAGTGGATCAAGAAACAAAAACCCAAAAAACAAGATATACAAGAAACACATTTAACTCAAAAAAAAATTAATAGCCTGAAAGTCAAAGGATGAAAGACAATACTGCACTACCAGAAACTCAGAAAAAATCATAGGTAGCTGTTCTGCTCATAGACAATGTAAACTTGAAACCAAGAATGATCAAACAAGATAAAGAAAACCACTACATACTTGTTAGGGGAAAACGTCAAGAGGAAGAAATAACAATCATAAATATACACTAAATATGGGAGCATGCAACTATAAGAGACAATATTTTTTTCACAGTACCAGAAATCAAACTTGGGACTTTGTGCTTGCCAGGCAGGCACTTATGCCACTGAGCTATGTCCCCAGCCCTACAAGACAAATTTTGTTATTCTTTTTTTTTTCAAAGTTTTATTGATAAACAGATAGCAATGAGACAGTTTCAAATCAAATCAGAAGTACAGTTTCAACAAATAATACACTGCATATATTCTTCTTAGTGGTTAATTGCTGTACAAGCTGCGGACTTGTGATCCTATTTACAAACACCATTAGAACAAATCATTCTATTCATTAAGAGAATGCAACTATATATCTATCCCAACCTCTTTGAATACACAGATACAAAATGGACATTCATCTGTATGCCCCATTTTTTCTAAGTTCCGTTATTGAATATTATAGGTGTGTAAACTCAGCAAAATATTCTAAAAGAGTTCAGTAGCCCATAATAGCGTTGGGTCTTCTGTTTAACTGGCAATGTCAGAAATTATTGACCTGAGTCCCCCATAGCTCAACTTAACAGCATGGCTTTATTTCTTATATTTCGACTTCATACTTTTCTACTGGATGGTTAAGACCAAGGTAAAGCAGGACCTATGCAACAAGAGTACAAACTTTGAAAGGCATAAAAAAAATCAAATAACCAATAATACAAACTTAACAGGGGAACTTAACACCCCATTATCTCAAAGAGATAGTTCAGCTAGACAAAAAATTAGCAAACCTTTGAACAAATGGACTAAGTAGACATTTACAGAGTGTTCTACCAAACAACATCTGAATGCGCATTCTTTTCAGCTACATGTGGGAAGTTTTCTAAAAAAGTCCACATACTAGCCCATAAAACATGCTTGAGTAAATGGAAGAGAATTTAAATTATCTCACACATATTATCTGACCTTAGTCCAGTGAAACTTGAAATTAACAACAAATGAAACTGAAAAAGAAAAATAAATAAACACATGGAAGTTAAATAACACCCTCCTCAGCAAGCAATAGGTCACAAATGAAACTAAAGAAGAAATTAAACAATACCTACAATTCAATGAAAATTCAAACACAACTTACCAGAATGTGTGTGATGCAATGAAAGCAGTTCTCAGAGGGACATTTATAATGGTGAACTCACATATTATGAACACGGGATGAGAAAAAAATAAATATCCTAGTTCTACACCTGATGCTTCTAGAAAAAGAAGAGCAAGCCCAAAGCCCAATGAAGGAGGAAATCACAAAGATCACAGCAGAAACTAATGCAATTTTGAGACAAAGAAAACAATACGAAGAATTAATGAGTCAAAGAGTTGGTTCTTTGAAAGGTTAAATAAATTGATAAACATCTAGCCAGCTTCATTAAAAGAAAGGAAAGAAAAAAATCTCAAATTCAAGCAACAAGAAATGAAAAGCATGAAACTACTACAGATCCTGTGGAAATTCGGAAGATCATCAATACCTGCTTTGAAAATCTTCACTCTCATAGGATGAAAACATAGAAGAAATGGACAGATTCCTAGATATGTACAACTTACCAAAACTGAATCAAGAAGATATAAAAATTCTGAATAACCCAATATCAAGTCAATGAAATTGAAAATATAATCAAAATCTTATCAACAAAGAAAAGTCCAGGTCCAGAAGGATTCACAGCTGAATTCTACAAGAAATTTAGAGATTTAATCCCAATACTCCTAAAACTCTTTAATGAAATTAAAAAGGAAGCAGTTCTCCCTAAACTCATTTCTGGAGGCAAGTATTACACTGATAGCAAAACCAAAAAAAGACACAACCAAAAAAGAGAACTATAGGTCAGTCTCCCTCATGAACATAGGTGTAAAAATATTCAATAAAATATTAGCAAATAGAATCCAGCATATCATCAGGAAGATTATACACCATGACCAAATGGGATTCATCACAAGGACACAGGTATGATTCAACATATGCAAATCTATAATATAATAAGCCATATCAACAAAGTCAAAAACAAAAACTACATGTTCATCTCAACAGACACAGAAAAAGCTTTTGACAAAATCCAACACTCATTCATGATAAAAACCCTACAGAAAACTGGAATAGATGGCCTATACTTCAATCTGATAAAAGCCATCTAAGACAAATCCACAGCTAACATTATTATAAATGGAGAAAAACTGAAGGCTTTTACTCTAAAATCAGATACACAGCAAGGATGTCCACTATCACTACTTCAATTCAATATAGTACTGGAAGCGTTAACCAGAGTCATTAGAAAAGGGAGAGAAATAAAAGGGATAAGAATTGTAAATAAAGAAGCTAAATTATCACTATTCACATGTGGCATAATACTCTACATGGAACACACACACACACACACACACACACACACACACACACAAAACTCTATGAAAAGATTTCTAGGGGCCAGGGAGATGGCTCAGTGGAATAAGCACTTCCCTGGCAAGCTCAAGGGCCTGAGTTCAATCCCTGGTCCTGCCAAAAAAAAAAGAAAAGAAAAGATTCCTAGAATTAGTAAATAAATATAGTAGCATAGCAGCTTATATAGTCAATACCCAAAAATCAATAGCATTCTTCTACACAAATAACAAACTCACTGAGAGAGAAATTAGAGAAACAACACCCTTCAAAACATCATCCCCCAAAATGAAATACTTAGAAATTGATCTAACAAAGGAAGTAAAATATCTATGTAATGAATATTATAATACTCTGATCAAAAAGAGATTGAAGTAGATTTAAGAAAATGGAGAGATATTTGTTGCTCATGGATAGGAAGGACCAACATTTTGAAAATGATATACTCCCAAAAATGTTATACAGATTTAATATAATTCCAATCAATATACCATTAGTATACCTCACAGATATAGAGAAAACATTCCTAAAATTCATTTGAAACCAGAGACCTAGAATAGCAAAGCAATCCTGGTTAACAAAGGCAAAGCAGGAGGCATTACAATCCCTGATTTGAAATTATACTACAAAGCTACTATGATAATATTAGCATGGTACTGGCAAAAAAAACAGACCCGAGGATCAATGGAACACATTACAAGATGCAGATACAGCTACAAACACTCAGCCCGCTTATCTTTGACAAAGGGACCAAACATGTTCCCTGAAAGAAAGATAGCCTCTTTAACAGTGTTAGAAAAACTGGCTTTCCACATACTGAAAACTAAAACTAGATCCAGGTCTATCACCATGTACTAAACTAAAGTCAAAATTAAGTAAAGATCTAGGCACTAAAACAGAAACACTAGAGACTGGGGAGATGGCTCAGTGGAATAAGCGCTTCCCTGGCAAGCACAAGGGCCTGAGTCTGAGTTCAATCCCCGGTTCCACGAAAGAAGGAAGAAGGAAGAAGGAAGAAGGAAGAAGGAAGAAGGAAGAAGAAGGAAGAAGGAAGAAGGAAGAAGGAAGAAGGAAGAAGGAAGAAGGAAGAAGGAAGAAGGAAGAAGGAAGAAGAAGAAGAAGAAGAAGAAGAAGAAGAAGAAGAAGAAGAAGAAGAAGAAGAAGAAGAAGAAGAAGAAGAAAAACAGAAATACTAAATCTATGAGAAGAGAAAATAGGTAGAAATCTTGAAGACATATGGATACGCAGACAGTTCATGAACAAAAACCAAACTAAATAGGAAATACTTCAAAAAATCAACAGTTGGAATCTCATCTTATTGAAAAGTTTCTGTACATCAAAAGAATCATCAACAGAGTGAAAAGAAAACTCTCAAACTGGGAAAAAAAAAAATCTTAACCAACAGTCATTCAAATAAAGTACTTCTATTTAGAATATATAAAGAACTTAAAAAAAAAAAAAAATCAGGCTCCCAAAAGTCCAAGAGCCAATCCAAAACTCCCAAAAGCGAATACACACTTCTCAGAGGAACTAATACAAATGGCAAATAAACATATGAAAAAAAAATGTCCAACAGCACGGATCATTCAAAATATACAAATTAGAACAACATTGAGATTCCATCTCAACCCAGAAAGAATGGCTATTGTGAAGAAGTCAACCAATAACACATGCTGGAGAGGCTGTGGGAAAAAGGAAAACTTTTCCGCTATTGGTGTGAGTGCAGACTGATACAACCACTATGGAAATAACTGTGAAAATTCCTCAAAAAACTAGGATTGGTCAGGGTGAGAATCATTCCAGTAAACTGCTTGATTCAAAAATCTTCTGAAGATAGACCATGACTCATCCACATGGCTGACACTGACAAAGGTTCTACAATCTGAGGTACAGGATCTAAGGATAAATCCTGAGGGGATTTCACTCACCTTATCAGATCTAAAAGCTACAACTCTTGTTGCATAGGTCCTGCTTTACCTTGGTCTTAACCATCCAGCAGAAAAGCATAAAAACGAAATATAAGAAGTAAAGCTATGCTGTTATGTTGAGCTGTGGGGGACTCAGGTCAACAATTTCTGACATTGCCAGTCAAGCAGAAGACCCAATATTATTATGGAGTACTGGACTCTTTTAGAATATTTTGCTGAGTTCACACACCTATAATATTCAAATGACAGAACTAAACAAAAAAGGGGATACAGATGAATGTCCATTTTGTATCTGTGTATTCAAAATGGCTACGATAAATATATAGTTACGTTCTCTTAATGAATAGAGGGATTTGTTCTAATAGTGTTTGTAAATAGGATATCATGTCTGCATCTTGTACAGCAATTAACAACTAGGAAGAGAGTATGCAATGTGTTAATTATTGAAACTGTCATACCAATTTGATTTGAAACTGTCTCATTGCTATATGTCTCTCAATAAACTTATGGGGAAAAAAAACTAAGATTGGAAGTCCCATTCAACCCAGCTATTCTCCTTCTGGGTATTCTTCCAAAAGAACTGAAAATGTCATACCACAGTGACATATGTGTGCCCATGTTTATAGTAGCACAATTTGTGATAGCTAAATCTTGGAAACAACACAATTGCCCATCAACTGAGAAATGGATAAAAAAGATGTGGTACTTTTATACAATGGAGTATTACTCAGCTATAAAGAAGGATAAACTTGTGGCTTTTATAGGTAAATGGATGCAAATAAAGGCTCTATTCATAAATGAAATAAATCAGCTCTACATGTATAAATATCATATTGTCTCCCTAGTGTAAGAATCTGAAAGAGTAAATAAAATCTGAAAGGTACAAAAGATACAGTAAAGGGGAAAGAAACTGAACATAAGGAATAAACAATTGTGATAAGGGAAAAGAGAAAAGATAGGAAAAAAAGAAAGGAAAAAAGCATGTATGTATATATACAGGATAGCTAAGATGATTATACTATAATATCTATCAGTTCTTTGAAAGTAGCAGCCACATTGAAGACAGCAATGTGCAATATAATATCCACTGTTGAAAGCTTACCATTTTATTTTTATTTCAATTGTGCATCATTTCTAATGGCTTATCTATTATTCTTCTATTCTCCTTAAAATAAATTCTTAAAAAATAAGTAACAGAATGGAAACAGGAAAATCCCCCAAACCCTATAAATTAAACAACATTTTAAATCACAGGTCAAAAAGGTCACTTCAAGGAACACTAAAATAATAAATGCCAAACATCAAATATACCAAGTTTTTAAAAAAAAATCTTTGACCAAGACATACAAACTGCTTTCTTCTCGCATCTGGAAACATACAGTGTGCTATCTGTGGTCACCCCACTGTACACCAGCACAGCAGAACTTTTTATTCCCACCTGGAGTCATCTCTTTGTACCTCTTGAACAGCCTCTCCCCATTCATCAGCTGCTCACGGAGTGGAAGAATTGATGTCGTGAAG